AAATTCCAATAGAATGCATCTCACTTTACTATTCCTAGTTCAAGTTGTCTGTTTCAACACCTTATTAATGATTAGATTATACACGGCTTTTCGAATCCCTTACCACCAATAATCTTCGGAAAGTTAATATATTCCAACTTTAAAAAAACGAATTGTTCTTATAATTTTTTAGGTTATTACTTTTATTTGTAGTTCAACTACTTCACTCACTTCTAGATTTTATATGGGTTAAAATAAGTGGTTTAATTGTATCATAGCTACTCATTTGCAATTCACAAGTATATATGTTTAATTGTTTGTAATTAAATAAGTATTTCTACTTTTCTGTTTTTTCAACTTGGATATTTTAAACATATGCTGGTAGGATAGAAACTTTGTGGAGGTTTTTGAATACGGAGTTACTTCGGATCGTATACTGACTTTAGTTGTTAGACAGTCATTAAAATTCTGGAGGTCACTTTAAGTTTAAAACTTTAACTGCCGAACGCTGACATCAATGGTTTAAAAGTAACATGCTCAGTCGTGAGGTCTGAAAATCTTTGATTCAGTCTTTTAATGGATCATGAACATTCACTGTGTGTTTAGGTGCATACTTTAGTTTTTCCCCAAAGTTTTTCCGTAATGTAATCTATTATTTCACCACAAACACCCCATATTTTTAATTTTTTAAATTCATTTATCGAATCTATTTGCATTTTTTAAAATTCGCACCAGTCAGTGAACAGTTCATTTCTAATTAAATTAACAATTTTGTTCTTAGCTTGATCATTTCTTTTGAATTAAGCTGAAACATTTGTTTAAACCTACTAATCGTTTGGAGTTATAAGACTTTTTATTGTTTCCGAATTGAGTACTCTCTCTCTCTGTTGAAAAATGAATATGTCTGTAAACCTTGTATTAGACGTTTCAACCCTGATGTACTCCGATAAAATGACACCCAAAAAATAATACTATATATATTTGATAACAATACAAGATTGCATAGTATCTTCAAGATACTCGTGAGCGTACAGGAGTTAAGGACTAACGTATTAATTTATCTATAGTCTGAAAATAAATCCGTCGAAAAATTCTTTATCTACTTCATTTCTTTTGAACTGAACCCGTCACTTGTTTCGTTAAATATAGTACAAACCTCCATATCTAGTCAGTATGTCTGTATTGTTACGAGAGAACGTTTTTAGCGAAATGGTAGCTATGATACTCCGTACTCTCAGGACGTATACTGAAACGTGGAAATATATTATGAATAGTATTTATTTATTATTTACGTACAGAATTACGAGACATGTAAAAACATTGTTTGCTACTACTGTAGTAAACAGAACACGACTTGGGGACAATCGAATGTATTTAAGCAAAATTACAAACTATCTCAGTAAATTCCGATAACCAAACAATGAACAGTCAATTTGCAAATTAACAACCAATTGTTTCAATCTTCACTGTTTCTTCTCTTATTCCATTGCTCATGCATTTTCCAGACGATTGCGCTTCATTTCAGTTCTTTCCTCATCGGTCTTCTGCGAAAATACATTCTACGTCTGACCCACACCATATACTACTTATATAGATATAAGTAGACCACACCACACTCGTCCCCCCTTTAAAGCGTTCGACCATGCGGTGGTTCTGCTCGCCACGCCACTATCTTCTTTCACTGCAGTCTGTGCCAAACTCTCCGTCTGAATGTCGAGTCTGCGGTGGGCTGACCTCCATAGCTCCGTCGACTTGCCGGGGCACCAACATCCGCATCCACCCGGCATCTGGGACGTTCAACATGCGTACACCACTGGCCTGCTGAGCCATCTACATCCGATGTCCGCCCAACAGCCGCACGTCCCACTGCTCCTCTCCGTCGACAGCACCTGCTACAGCCAACGCCGCCCCGCCAGAACACTCCACTCGACGCCACCTCTCCGCACCAGACTGCCCCAACTAGCACCTCAACTCCAGACCCGCATCAGCGTCCACAGAATAGCACCCTTCCTCCTCCCGGTTGGCAGCGACACCAAATGTAGTGAACAAAACACTAGTTGGGGACAATCGAATGTATTTAAGCAAAATTACAAACTATCTCAGTAAATTCCGATAACCAAACAATGAACAGTCAATTTGCAAATTAACAACCAATTGTTTCAATCTTCACTGTTTCTTCTCTTATTCCATTGCTCATGCATTTTCCAGACGATTGCGCTTCATTTCAGTTCTTTCCTCATCGGTCTTCTGCGAAAATACATTCTACGTCTGACCCACACCATATACTACTTATATAGATATAAGTAGACCACACCACACTACCACTACTATTATTTATTTTTTTATTCTTGTCATTCATGTTTCTTTTATGTTCCAATTTGAACAACACTTATTTGAAATATTTTATTACCCTTCTTTCTGGTGTCACAAAATTCTACAGTAATAGTTATTATCATAGTCCAGTCGAAAATCTTTTTACAACTATGTAACCTAGAAGTAAAATCGTTCTTACTTTAACACTAATGCATTTGTTCCCACCTACTTTTTGTAATCTCTAGATTTCTCTCTAGTTTTTTCTTTTCTTTGCTTCACTTCAATTTATTTCTACGTTTGAATACAGTTATTGTAATTTATTGATAAATTGTAAAGTGATTAGTTTGAATTTGCTTCTGGGATGGTGGTGAAGATTTGTAGCTCAGGCGGATGTTTTCAGTCAGTCATTCAGCAACAACGTAGGACCAGGCACAACTGCCGTACCTTGTTAGCACAACAAGATGAACACCGAATTCATAGAAGTAGTTGATTTAATGGTGGTAATATATGAAAGAAATATTGCATATAACGATATAGTGCAGGAAGAAAGACAGATATGAAGCAATTTTAATCTCAAGGTTTAAGGGAAGATAAAGAGTGTATACACCTACGTCATTGTGATCGATTCTGAGCCATGTCATACACAGTCTCCGACCATTAGTTACGATAGTCACGCGGATCCCAACCAAGTATTCTACATCTACCAACATGGTTCAGATTAGAAGTTAGTGACTTCAAGTACTGATGTCACTTTTTGGTTTGGCCACCCCTAATTCTCTTCCAACCATCCCCTACGCTAGTCAGCATTGCACGTCCTGGCATACGTAACATGTGGCCCAACCATCCCAGTTGATAAAGATTCACAACCCCATCAACTGATTTACCATCATTTCCTAATACCCTGTGTCTAACCTGACGACCGTTTCGTCCTAGTGGTGGACTCCTCAGCATTGCACATCTACGATCCCTCACTCGCGAGATTCGAACCCAGGACCTACCAGTCTCGCACCAGAGCACATAACCGATAGACCACCGAGCCGGCATCCAACGATATCAATGTCTAACTTCAACCAATCCACTAAATTAAACAACCATTCACCAATGTTTTCAGTTTGTTGATATCTCTACAACAGACCTGGTAGAACTCCACTGGTCACTGCTTCCCACTAGAACTCAAGGAAACATTCCTTGAAGTCAGTCACTCGTGAGCATATAATTATAGATCAGAAGGGACTTTGTGGTGATTTCAGTATTTTCATAGTTGAAATCATGAGGTATTATTCATTTCCTCAAACTTTCTATACCATTAATAATCATGGGAGCAACAGTGTCTTAATTAAAACTAGATTTGTTAATCCGTTTTAGGCTACAAATCATGTTATTCTTACTTTGTTCTTCAAGATGTGTCTGAACAGAAAAATAATATTCAATCACAGTTATGTAAATATATTCATACTGTTTACCTGGATAGGTTTTCTTCTGAAACTATCAGTTAATCTATCGCATCTCCTAAAATGTCGGTTGACTATGTATCGACAGTTTTCTAATCGTGATTTGTTTGTATTTCTGATGGAACTTCTCTAAACGTCAAGAACAATTTTAAAGATTTCACAAAAAAATAGGTCATGACCTAACTAATATTGTATTATCCGATCTGAATATGTGATACGAAGCTGGAAAATAGCAAAGTTGTATACTCTTTGGAGTTAAGGATATTTTAAATGGTCAGTCGTCAATGAATTTAATGTGGTACCATTTTATACTATATTTAGCAGCTCGTTTAATAGTTAGAAATGATTTCTATACGAACCACATTATGAAAGGTTTGAATATAACTCCGAAAGTATGGTGACTATACTTTTCTTCAATAGAAGTACTTAATTATTTGATATGTACGAGATTGTTAATAGAATGATGGATGTGCACTGCTGAGGAGTCCCATAATAGAACGAAACAGCCGTCCAGTGTTTCCATGTTTTCCATGGTGGTCTAGCTTCAATTGACTCATGGTTTCAACTTTGAAAATACTGAAATCTCCACATAATCCCCTTCAGAATGATAGAATTATTACTGAATATTGATAATAGTTGGCAGCTTTAGAATTTATTGCCTATAAAATGTCTCCAATTATTACAAACTTACTTACTTACGCCTGTTAATCCTCGTCGAGGAGCATAGGCCGTTCACCAGCATTCTCCATCCAACTCTGCCCTGAGCCTTCCTTTCCAGTACTTTTCAGTTGCTATTCATCCTTTTCATATCTGCTTCTAGTTCCCGGTGTAATGTGTTCTTTGTCCTTCATCTTTTCCACTTCCCTTCCGAATTCCAAGTTAGGGATTGCCCTGTAATGCACATTGGTGGTTTCCTCAGTGTATGTCCTATCCACTTCCAACGTCTTTTCCTAATTTCCTCTTCAGCTGTAAGCTGGTTTGTCCACTCCCATAAAACGCTGTTGCTGATAGTATCCGGCCAGTGAATGTTGAGTATTTTGCGTAGATAACTGTTTATAAATACTTGTACCTTCCTGATGATGGTTGTAGTCCCAATTATAATCAAAAAGAAGACTCCCTGCAAGGTATTGAGCCTTTTCGACATCAATTGTCAAGACTTTAATTCATTTCAATTACATGATAGATGATAATATCAGCATGATCTATACTACTTATATATTGACTTCAGTAATTATTGTATTGTTTATCTTATTTTAGAAATAAATGACTTATTTTCACCTACAACAGTTTAAACAAACGGAAAGAATTTGTCCGAATTTCTTACAGTTGTTTATTTACTTAACTATATTTTGTTTATGTCAAACAATTTATCCAGTTCATTCATTAAATACATTAAGAAGTTATCCAACTGTAGATGATGTTACTAATACAGGTGATATATGGTCATTAAATAATCAAAATAAAAAGAAAACTATGGATCGAATTCGTGAATTCAATCGATACTTGAATAGTATTTTTCTTCGTCAACAGGTAGGTTACTGGTGAAGTTTACTCTATCGGTAGTGTATTTCAGTCACGTTGATCAACTGTCCATACCTTTAACTCGAGCTAGTGTCAAGAACAACAGATCTAGAATAGTAGTAATAATAGTTGCTTTATTTATTACTATGGCATCAGCTGTGCATTATCGCAGAAAGATTTCTCTTCACGTTGATTGAAATGATGTTTTACAAATGTTTTTTTCAATACTCAGTATCCGCTAGTCATTTTCAAAAGATACACCTTGTTATCAATTGTTTTTAATGTCATAACTATTCCTCTCTCTGATCAGCTATTAAACGCTTGGATTCTAATATATTCCTCTCTGGTATATTCGAATTATAGATAAGAAGGAAACTATGCTAGCAAGTGTAGTGTTTAAGCTTAAGGTTTTAGTATCAAGAACCGTGACGAATTATTGTAATGGTATGCGCCTAACCTTGAGATACTTTGGGTCTTTCGGGGGAAGTTTAGAACATCGTGCATAAAAAGACATTTCACAATAAAGCATCCAATCATAACAATTAATAACGTAGACATGAGATTAAGACAATTCGATTATCACAACTAGAAGTGCTACCGTTATATCTTGATTTTGTTACAATGTTAAATCATTCACAAAACTCTGAGTACGCATAGATGCAATTCAAAGTTATTCAATCTAAACATGCACAAAACAGAAAGATGTATTGTAATAATTGCACAGCTGGAAAATACGTAGCCCATACATTCGTGTAAGATTGCTAAGCTGAAGTTACTTTGGAATTAATTAACCAGTACCCAGGTAAAACAATTGAAATAATGAATTCTGGATACTCTGATGAATTATAAGAACTGTGTAAAAGAAATGTTGAATTATTCTTAATAGTGCACTTCAAGCAATATTTCCATAAATTTTTGAAGTTGGTCACAGTGTTTTCACATTCGAAAGAAAAAAAGAAAAATGTAATGATTCTACCTAAGCAATGCAAAAACAGCTATTGAACCCTAATAGTTGTGCCGTGCATCGATGTAGCATTCTTCTCCAGAACAGCCTACTAGGCTTCACCATGTTACTATAGCTGGAAGGGGAGGGGAAGAGATGAGATTTACTAACAATCATACACAAAATAATATGGTTTATTGATCAAAATTGGTTATAAATACTTTTGCACGTTTAAATAATTCTAGTTTATGACCAAATCAATCAATCTGATAATGAGATCGTGGAGAAGAATTGTTGTTCAGGTGGGTGATTTTGATGTAGGTTTGTTCTCTGAGCTGGATGGTTTGGTGATGGAGCTTTCATCGTCCATCTTAACGACATCATGAGCATAAACTTCGGGTAGCAGTGAAGTGTTTGAATTTCTTCACATGTGATTAAAAGCTTGTCCTGTGTACCTCGATGTTGATTGTTTCTTATTGACCTTAAATCACACTTGTTGGTAGAATATGCTGGCGAATACACTCGTGGAAAAAATATAGTTGTTCTCGAGTGGAAGCTTGCCTTTTAGCGAAATTCTCCCAACGAGAAGCATACTACGCTCGTATGATAATGTTTAAATGAAATTTCTTCTCTTCCCTCCTCTTCTTTAACTAATGATGCCTTTCTTTTACATGAGTGAAGAATATGTATTGTAATAATCATTGTACTTTTGTCTTTACAGTTTTATCCCGAAGAAAATGAAGAACCATATGAAAGTCGTAAATTCTGTAAGTAATGAAAATGTCTATTTTATCATTGAAAGAAAAAAAAGGAGGGTATTTCCTTTTTGACTATACTATTTAATGAAGTTATATGATTGTTTTTAATGGTACATTAACAGATAATTCAGTAACTAATTGGATTATAAAATGTTCATAAGTTGGTATGTGTCACAAGAGAGTTATGTTATTATCGAAACAGTTAATGAAAGTATAATTTGATTGTTTGGTGAGTGATATAATAGAAAAAAGAATGTTTTCCCTGTTGTATACTTACTTACTTACTTGCTTACGCCTTTAACTCCCAATGGAGCATAGGCCACCGACCAACATTCTCTAAAACACTCTGTCCTAGGGTATATGTTGTATGCAGAAAATATCATTGTTGATTTGATAAATTTGAAAGTGGTTAGAAAAAAACTGAACCATTTGAAGTTGATAACAACAAATTAGTTAGAAGTATTAAAAAAAATTTAAAAAGTGTTATCAAATGGTTGTTGAGTACAAAGGTTCAGAAGTGTTAAGGATATGGGAGAAATCGAGATTTTATGTTCGGATCTCCTACTTACTTACGATCAGCATTCTCCAACCCACTCTGTCCTGGGCCTTCCTTTCCAGTTCTATCCAACTTTAGTTCATTCTTTTCATGTCTGTTTCCATTTCTCGGCATAATGTGTTATTTAGTCTTCCTCTTCTCCTTTGGAATTCAGGATACCATATGAGGGCTTGTCTTGTGACGCAATTGGTTGATTTTCTCAAAATGTGTTCAATCCACTTCCAGCGCTTCTTCCTGATGTTTTCCTCCTCTGGAATCTGGTTTGTTGTCTCCCATGTTCAGATCTCAGGATCAGAAAATTAAACTACTAAAACCTCTGTAGCACAAAATGTTTTTTATTTGTGCAAATGTCTTTTTGAATGCAGCTGTTAATGTTTTGTACACGTTGTGGGCATAAATATTGGGGAATATACGTCCATTGATTGTAATAAGCTTGTAAATCAGTAGACCCGGATAATAGTTGTGAAGGTTTTCATTTCACTGTTACTGATTGTTATAAATGACATAGAAATATACTAACATTCAAGTGTACTTGTCCTTAACAAAAAGTAAAAACTGTAAACGCTTCTTCAAATGTCAGATGGTTATGTAATAAGGTGGAAAGTTTCAATATCCACTATCTTTTCAACAGACAAATTACTTATTATTGTTGTGTATTTGTCAGTTTCTTATTGTTGATAGTGATGATTAACTCCTAGGAGTAAAATTTAAAAAATTTAAACACATAAATATTGGTACAAGGGGGCAGCAAATGTATATGAGCCAAACAAATCTCATTTGATTTATGTGAAGGCTGTGATACTGCACAGGTGCCCAAACTGAAACAGGTGGTTTTCTTAGACGGACACACCTCGAGCCTTTGACCTAAAGATCTGATCCACATGTCAGTGCAGCATCGTGAGGAGATGTAGTCCCATGGTAGCCGGTGACCAACAATAGGTTCATACGCCATTCGTTCCATCAGCATAATGGAGCCCATGTGCACCATTGGTTTGGAATCAGGGTTCTCCAACTCCCCTAGGTGAACTTTTCATGTCCACTAACCCAGTTGAAACATTGGACATTCGCTTTTCATCCTCTCACTTTCGTAAACAACACCCCCACCTCGAGAAGGCAGTGAGTAGGACTTCCCTGACAGAGGCTATGTACGCGTGTCCACGTGAGAGCAGTTCGAGAGGGAGAGCGAACTCTCCCCACTCTCGACCGTACCAGGGCATTTACGGGGGTAGGATTTAAGTAAATGAAAATCAATATTTAAGATTTATTCGTATAAAACTTATAACATTTGATTAAAATTTTAGATTTCTAGTTCCTCAGCTATCCATAAGTGGATTAAATTTTTAAAAAAATTTTTCCAAGAGGGTCAAGTGATTTGAACTGAATCAGTTGTCTAATGATACAAACTACATATACTCATTATTCTATTTACTAAGTGAATTAGAAATGTCAACATCAGCTCATTTAATGAACTAAGAATATGATACCTATTTAAACGATAAATAATAAAACTGTCAATTACAGGTATAATTTTAAATCATATTTTAATCATTTTGGAATGTTTGAAATAACATTATCTAACTATAATCTTAAATTGAGATATTTACTTAACTACTAATATCTTATCATAAGTAGTATATTGCATATAATGTCTTTTTCTTCTTCTTCTTCTTCCTTAATACAGCTGTTCTGTCCAATCAAAATAAACGAGATTATTTATTTTTACGTGGCTAATTCATTGGAACAACTATGGATATAAATGATAAAGTTAATAAGAAAGAAAACTGATTGAAACCATCATTAATTGTTTAAATGTATTTAGAAACAAACAAATCAATTTTACTTGTCACTAGTTTATTGAGTATAATATAAATTTATCCATGATTAGTTTCTTTTCTTATCTTCTGATTATATTACATAATATTGTGGCATGTGCTACTGATATCGACAGATATAAGTAGTATGTATCATCAAACGAAAGTGAAATAGTTGAAAGTGTTAGTCAATTGAAGCTAGTTCACCATGGTAAACCTGGAAGCACTGGACTGGGGTTTCGTTCTATTGTGGGACTCCTCAGCAGTGAGCATCCACGACCCCGCCTCACGAGATTTGAACCCAGGACCTATAGGTCTCTCGCGCGAACACTGAACCTCTAGAACCACTAAGCCGATATTCAACGATGCTAATGTCTAACTTCAACCAATCCACGAAAATGAGCAACCATTCACCAATGTTTTCAGTGAGTTGATATCTCACAACAGACGTGGTTTGAACTCCACCGGTCACTGCTTCTCACTAGAACTCAAGGCAAAATCTCTCGAAGTCAGTCACTAGTGAGCATGTGATTATTAATATTATCAGAAGGGGTTTTTGTGGAGAAAGTGAAATACCTGGGGGTCGAAGATTAAGAAACTCCTCCTGTAGCTCCTCTCTGGGCTAGTTCCGGTCCCAGGCCTGGATAAAGGAGGAGGGTTGAGCATGGGGTTAACGATCCCATCCCATAGAAAACTAATTCGTTTAAAAACGCTATGCATGAAAGTAAGAAGTTTAAGAAAATCTAAGAAAAGTGAACCAGAACAAAGAATGATTGGTGTGAAAATGAAGGAAAAAAAAAGTTTAAAACGATTGACTGACATTTTGCAAATGAAATATTTACGGTATGTTTCTCAAATTTTACTAAAATGTTCCGTAATTATGTATTCAAATACATTCGATTGTTTCCACTTATGTTCTCGTTCACTACAACACAAGTCACTTTAAGTTTTTGTTAGATATTTAAGAATCAGCTGTTTGAGAATTGAATGTTTGTTCAGCAACATAAAATATTTGACAGTAATTACATATTCAAAGTAACGTCAAACGAAGAAATATAAAATAAATTAAGCGTCACTGGACAATTATTTGATTCTATTTTGAAAATGAGTTGTTATTTACGCCATCGGTTTTACGTATGAGTAGACATAAAAACACCACATCTGACGTTGACCACCAAATTATTCAGCGTTTGATAGCGAATTAGTGATGTGAAAGCTAACAGTATCATGCAGGACCTAAAGGTTAAGGGTTTGATTACTTTTGGAGTTATAAATACACACTGTTGTAGAGTTGTATAGTAAAACAAAACAGCTCTTCATTCCTTCCTGGTCTATCGCACTGTTGCCTACTTTTTGGGTTCCATAGTTGAAGATAACTGTTGAAGGGTTGGATCTGTCATTTGCTGCCGTTTAAAGTTATTAATTGATTACGTTAAATACCAAAACAATTTGAGTAGTTCGTGACTCACAACTAACATAAGCTGAAACGAATAAAACTGAAGATACAACATACATCTTAAAGTCTGTATGAAAAATACCCAGAGACTGACCAGTTGCAGTCCTAACAAATCGATGGGAAGATTCAAACAAACAATACTAAGTTGAATTTAAACTTCACCCGATCGCACAAGCAAGTGGCTATCAGGACTCAGTGGCCGAGTGGATAACGCGATGGCGTTTGAATCGAGGGTACTGAGTTCGAGTCCCAGAGTGAACATCAACTCTGAGATGCAGGTACATCCAGCTGACGAGTCCCAAATAGGACGAAACGCGCGTCCTGGATTCCACTGCTAGCCACTATCCATCTCTGCTAACCAAAATGTCATTAGTTTGTTTTAAAACACATAAAAGTTAATTATTTTCACTAAAAATAAGCTAAAAGTATTTTAGATATTTAAAGAGATTAGTGAATTGACAAATCATGAAAAGAAAATTTTAAAAGTTCCTGGACTTTATGAACTGTTGGTTAACTTGTCTAATGCGAAAAAATTACTTACTTACTTACTTACTTACGCCTGTTACTCCCAATGGAGTATAGGCCGCCAACCAACATTCTTCAATACATTCTGTCATGGGTTTTTCTTTCTAGTTCCATCCAATTTTTGTTCATTCTTCTCATGTCTGTCTCTATTTCTCGGTGTAATGTGTTTTTTGGTCTTCCTCTTCTCCTTTGACCTTCAGGATTCTATGTAAGGGCTTGTCTTCTGAAGCAGTTGGGTGATTTCCTCAATATGTGACCTATCCACTTCCAGAGCCATTTCCTGATTTCTTCCTTCGCTAGAATCAATGCGAGAAAACCAACCTAATAATAATCCTTTGTTCAGACAAAAGTCTGAAGGTTTACATGCCAAATACCCTCTTAAAACTATGATTTACCTACTAACTATCCGAAAGAAGTTACAAATACAACCAGTTGTTTATAGGGAAACTTCTATATGTTTTTTAAAATAAATTTTGTTTCTTTTCAAAGTGAATAGAAAGTAATCTTATTATTAGCATTATTGGGGTTAATGATCGCTTAATAAAATATAAACCGAGTATAACTAAGGATCATAATCCTTGAAAGTGATCATTCAGTTAGTAAAGTTTATAATGAAAAGGTATAAAATGATACGACTTCCTTCGAAAAATGAAATAAATCATATGTAAAAACTGGTCTGAGATAAAGTCAAACTAAGTAGTGAAATCTCATAACAATTTTCCAGATAAATTCACTTGGTGTTCTTCCCATGAATCTTCTCATTGATGTTTGAACTGTAGTTAATCAGTCTCTTATTGGTGTATGTGCATCTTGTGTGGAATGCCTTGATATTGCTTTTAATTCATATGGATTATCAGCAAGGGTGGCTGATGTCAAACAACACCAAGGTTAGAATTTTCAATACAAATGTGAAGACAGTTCTATTGTATGGGGCGGAGACGTGGAGAACTACGAAAGCCAGTATCCAGAAGATACAAGTGTTTATTAACAGTTGTCTACGCAAGACACTTCGGATCCGATGGCCAGACACTATCAGCAACAACCTACTGTGGGAGACAACAAACCAGATTCCGTCCATTGGAGGAAGAAATCAGGAAGAAGCACTGGAAGTGGATAGGGCACACTTTGAGGAAATCACCCAATTGTGTCACAAGACAAGCCCTCATATGGAATCCTGAAGGTCAAATGAGAAGAGGAAGACCAAAGAACACATTACGCCGAGAAATAGAGACAGACATGAGAAGAATGAACAAGAACTGGATAGAACTAGAAAAGAAGGCCCAGGACAGAGTGGGTTGGAGAATACTGGTCGGCGGCCTATGCTCCATTGGGCGTAACAGGCGAAAGTGAGTAAGTAAGTAAGTAATGGCTGATGGCTAGCAATGGAATCCAGGATGCGCATTTCGTTCTATTATGGACTCGTCAGGACTTAGTAGTCAAGTGGATAACTCGATGTCGTTTGAAGAGAACGGTACTAGGTTCGATTCCAAGAGTGATAATCAACTATGAAATGCAGGTACATCCAGCTGACAAGTCCCAAAATTGGCGTCCTGTATTTCACTGCTAGCACTATCCACTCCGATTATAATTTTCCAGATAATATCCATTTTTTTAACCACAGAGCAAAACGTCAAACATAAGCTCTATATCGTAACTGTCCATATATGTCACTACTGAATAATTTAATCAGAACAGAAAGATAAAAGTTGCATTATAGCTCCTTAAATTAATTTACCTAAAAGACATGAATCAGTCAAAACTTGTTAATTATAGCAATTTACATTCGTCCATTGTAGCACCTCACGTATATATATATATATATATATACATCTTCTGTTCACTGACCCGCTTACTCGTTAACTTGCTGACTTGTTAATTCACACACTTGTTCATTGACTCAATCGCTCGCTTGCTTTACGACACTACTCTTTCATGCTTGCTTAATATGCCTGTAATTTTGGATATCTGTGCGTGGTTCAATAATAAACGTAATCAAAATTTATTATTGGCCTTTTGATTTATACACTATTGGGTTGTTATCGAGTAACGGTTACCAGGACGAACAATATATGAAGTTTAAAGATAATATCGAATATCGACCAAAACACGTTAATTCGAAAAATGAACTCTTTGATACATATTGTGTTAGAAGATTTCGAAAACTAACGTTATTTGCTCATCTATTTAACAATCACTAGTTATTTTGAATTTTTTAAGTGAAGTATGGAAATGCGCTTGCAATTACCTGAATATCCAATTACTTTAATGCATCTCAGCGTTCATGAAAGAGACAGATAAATAATTGTACTTTTGTATATATACATTTATACTTTCATCTTTCAGAGCTTTCATATACCTGAAATGCTATACAACACTGGATATAATATTTAAGCTCAGTATCAGTATGCAGCATTATTTAAAACGATAAACAGGTCCCTTTGCAAAGAATAAACTTACTTACTTACTTACTTACACCTGTTACTACCAATGGAACATAGGACGCCAACCAACATCCTCCAACACACTCTGTCATGGGCCTTCCTTTCTAGTTCTATCTACCCGTCATCCATTCTTTTCGTATCTGTCTCCATTTCTCGGTGTAATGCGTTCTTTAGTATTCCTCTTTTCCTTTGGCCTTGAGGATGCTATGTGAGGGCTTGCATTGTGACACAGTTGGGTAATTTCCTCAGTGTATGTCCTATCCACTTCCAGCTCTCCTTCCTGATTCTTTTTTCCACTGGATGGAATCTGGTTTGTTCTCTTTTACAATAGGTTGTTGCTGATAGTGTCCGACCAACAGATCCGAAGTGTCTTGCGTAGACAACTGTTAATAAACACTTGTATTTTCTGTATAATTATGGCTTTCGTAGTTCTGCAAGTTTTTGCCCCATACAGTAGAACTGTCTTAACATTTGTATTGAAAATTCTTATTTTGGTGT